AGTGTGGAGAGAAAAGATAAGAGAGAGAAAGAGAGGCACTATTTTTTTTTTTTTATAGTTGGATTTGTTTTGCTGCTAAGAAGGTTTGAAGAGGATACCTCATTAATGAAAAATTGTCCATTCTCCGTGTTCTCGTGCTTCCCTTATTTTGTCTGCAAAACACAAAAAAAATGAAGTTAGACTTGTTTTCCAATTTTTTGTTTTTTACATACATCTTTTTCCAAAAATTAGAGAACAAAAAACCAAACCAAATAAGTTTCTTTTATTTTTTAGAAATTTGACATCAAAAAACTGTTTTCAAAATTCAAACCAAACATGACCTCAATTTTTGGCTTTTACTTTCTTTTTTTTTCCAAGTTCTTCTTTAATAAGGTGAATTATGGGTCCTAAAGAGGAACACTTCGGAATTCTTTGGAGCCTCGCAGGATCTCATGATCATTGCTTTTAGATTTTACAAGGTTTTCATACCCAAAAAAGGCCCACTTCTCTTTCTTTATTGGGTAGGATGTGTTACACCAGCTGTTCCCACTGGACCCACTTCTTGGGCTTTTACTGGCTTTTCATATAGAATCCTAAGAACACATTGAAGTGGTCTTACAAATCAAATTTGAGATTAATTACGACTTAATAACATCGAGTTATGACCTGACAAAAGAAATTTTTCATGACATGTGTTGGCCTGATATCCAATCTAAAAGATCCACCCTTAGCCCGATTCAGCTCGAAGGCTGATTCGACCCTACCCGCCCATGACCCCCCATTGGAGAAACTTCTTTCGGGAATATAATAACACTATCAAGTGGTATACATAATCAATTATAGTTATACATTCTTAAGAATTACTGCCACTTATCACTTTGCTACAATTTTTTTAAAAAAATAAATCAATTTATGTGTATGTTACAGCAACTTTTCATTAACTATACATACCACCTGACACAGTTAACTGATATGTTAATTCCATTCCAAAATTTCTCGCCTTAACCCAAAAAATTTAACTGGGCCATTTCATGGACACCCCTATGACACAATGATTCCTAAAACTTTGGTATGCCTGAGATTATCATACAGCATGGTCTATGCAACTTTTCATTGTGATCTTTTATAAGGAATAAGAAAAAATAACAGATTATTTATCCATTATCCATATCATATGTAGTGGAGAAACTTTCTCCCAGACAAAGCTTCTTTCGATTTTTTTTTTGAAGTTCATTAAATTCACTTGGTGTTTCATAAAACAGATTAATTTTAGCATAGTACAGAGGAGGTCCAAAAGTGATTAGTCTTTAAAATAACAACTATTAGAGCCAAGACCTACATAGAAACACTACTAATTAATCATAGTATGCCATGTGCTGTCTTGCTTTTTACTGCTAGTAAAGAAGCAGAACCACAACACTANACATAGAAACACTACTAATTAATCATAGTATGCCATGTGCTGTCTTGCTTTTTACAGCTAGTAAAGAAGCAGAACCACAACACTAAAGTGATGTTCAAAATAATAATATTCCACATTTGACATCTCAGAAAAATTCTCTCTATCATGGCATCATTCTGCCAATGCTATATCGTTTTCGTCTACAAAGATGTTATCTTTTCTCGTACTCCGTTTTGGAGAGATTGAAACCCGAACTAAAACTCACTGTATATCTGTCGGACTTATGAGTACTTATCACTGTCTCATGTTTCATCTCTTCCTCTAGCAAAGAGGTACAACGAATATCAAAATAATGAACTTAACTACTTATTAGTAAGATTAAAAACAGACTTACTCAAAAATAAGTTTCTTTGACAGACTAAACTCGTTATAAGTCTTTTAAAAAGGAATCAACCCTAATTTTCACCTTCTTTTTTTTGCTGGCACAAGCCTTGTGTTGCTAAAGGCCTTAAGCTTGGTCAGATCTTAAATCAGTTTTCCCTCCCTTGTCCAACTTAATTATAAGTCATTATATATTCCCTCCCTTGCTGGCACAAGCCTTTTTTTTTTTGTAAACGTAGGCCTCATATATTCTTTTGAGCTCTAATATGATTGCTAAACACAATCGAATTCAAACTTGAGTAAAAAAATTGAAGAGCGGTTTGTTTCAATCTTTATATATATATACTCATAGCCATTGCATCGTGCCTACAATAATACGGCCATGGACAGCCAAAAACCTTACGGTGAAAACATAAGGCACAACAAACTTCGCTTGGCCCAAAAACAACATTTGCATCACATGGATTTAAATAGCCAAAATTTCAATACATTTGATTGTAATTAAGACCATCTTTGATTTTATACTCTGATGTCCCGTTTGGTACGATGAAAAAATGAAACATTGGAAGAATGAAAAGTTGAAAGGATAAGTAGAAGGAAAATAAGAAAGATAGAAAAATTGATGAATTAACTTTCCTTCCAACTCACCAAAATCAGAAAGAATATGAATGAAAAATTAATTATGTGTTTTGAAATATATCTTATTTGTCTACTAGTTATTACCCGTGCCTGAAGGCATTCTTAACACAAAAAATTAGCCAAGCAAACAGAGATCCAAGAAATTCTTAAATAAAAAAATCTTAGGGTTGAAATGAAGAAGAATCATATAACATTAATACAATTTAAGAATCCCCATGAACTTAAACTAACACCATTACAAAATTATCATATCATAAATTTTTTCATGGCGACTCTTTTTTCTACCAGATAAGTGTTCATTTTTTCAACCTCTGGTTAAATCTAATGAATAGACTGTCTATTTTTAATAAGGAATATCATTAAAAATACACAATTAAATCATTGAATACAATCAAACAAATTAACCACATTGAACTCCAAATCAAATTTCCAAAAAATAGAAAAAACCTCAACCGCACTAACATTGCCCAATGGATCTGTTTGTAGTTGCGAGGACAATTAATTTAAATTCTCTACCGCTGTAACTTCTCGGATTCTACATCTCACGCTGCAATTAAACCAAATCAACAAAATTAAACTTTCCCCACTTCAAAAAAAGTTTGATTTAACGGATCTTTTGTCATTTCGGTGTTTATTTTGCACTACTAAAGTATTAAAAAATATATGAACATTTGCAAGAGAAAAGTGATGCAAATAAGGGAAAAAATATTATAGTTGGTTTTGATTTTTTTTTTTTTTGGTTTCACTTATTTTTTTATTGGGAATTAACTTGACTTTGAGTTTTTAGTTTTTTTTGGTACAATTGGTATCACTTTTTTTTTTTATTGGTGATTAGCTTGACTCTAATTTTTTTTTTGATACAATTGGTATCACTTATTTTTTTTTATTGGTGATTAACTTTATTTTATTTTATTTTATTTTTTTGTGCAATTGGTGTCACTTTTTTTTTTATTGATAATTAGCTTGACTTTGAATTTTTTTGAGTAAAGAAATCCAATTAGGATCATCAAAACAAACAATGTTAAGAAAGAGAGAGTATGAGAAATAGGAGAATGTGTGTCTAAAAGAAATATGAAATAGAGAAAGAAAATTATATTCGAAATGGGAGAGTGTGTGTTTAAAAGAAATAATAGAGAGAGAATTATATGAGAGACGACAGAGTGTGTTTAAAATATCTGTGAGGGGGAGAGAGTAATATACATATGACAGTTGAGTGTATGAGATAAAGAATGAGAGAGTTATATAAGAGATGAGAGCTTTAGAATTATAAAAAGAATGAAAGTCCAATTTTGATTGTTAGATCAAAAGTTGGAAAATGATATGAACTGCGAAAAACTCAAGACAAAAAAATGCAGTTACTTTATTATATAGATATATCTTTCGATATATATATATATATATATTAATTTCATATAAAAATACAATGATAAAATATGTATTTATAAATATATTTTAAAAAATTTTAATAATAAATTTTAAAAAAAAAATTAAATTAAAAATATATTTTTTTCCATCTTATCTAGGGGTGAAAATTTTCGACTCAACACGATGACAAGACTCGAACTTGACACAAATTTTATGATACGAACTTGATTATAACTCGTCACGAACTTGAAAATGATCTGACATACAAACAAGAAATATAAAACGTTCATATCAATTCAACTCGTCAAACTCAAAATTGATACTATCAACCCGTTTATTTAAAAATAAATACTTTCTCTATTTTCTCGTTTGTATGGTTACACGAAACTAACATGTTTAACTAGTATTATAGACATAAAATATTAATTATTTGTAAATATTTATTAAGTACTGACATAATTATTATATAAAAAAAATATTTTTACTTATTATTATCATTTAAATTAATGTTTAGTTTGTGAAAAAAATATTAACATGAATTCAATTAAGTGGAAATAGAATATTAACGTTAAATTTTTTATTCAAAGTTTATGTTGGTTAACACGAACACGACACGAAAATAAACAAGTTAATTTATAACTCGACACAACACAATTAGTTAAATGAGTCGAGTTAAGTTTGACTAATGTTTAACACAAACCTGTAATGATTCAATACGAATCTGACACGACTCGATTTTCACCTTTAATCTTAGCCAACACAAAAAAAAATTTAATCATTTTTATTTTCCATCAATCCTACCAAACACAAAGGAAGAAAAATGTATCATTCCTATTTTTCTTCCTTGAAGATAAAAAATATATTTTTTCTATTTTTTATCTTTTCTACTTTTCATCTTTTTTATCAAACGGAGCATTAAGGCTTCATTTGGCTAACGGGAGAGTGGTGGAAAATGGGAGAAAGAGGGAAAAAAAAATTATTGTTTTTGTTTAACAAGAAACCAAATTTCTCGGGGATTTTTTTTTTCCCGCTGAACAGATTTTCCCGCATTCCTTTATTCCTTCTACTATATATATATATATATATATATATATATATATATATATATATATATATATATATATATATATGTGTGTGTGTGTAAGGGTCGAGGGAATTGAAACAAAAATTAACCAACACAAGCCATTGTCCATCTCTTTGAGCCCTCCTCTCTGAATCCTAAGAACTTCTCTTAATGACAAACCTATTTGTGCCTCGTAGGGAGCAACCAGCAAAGTCGGGACGGGATATATTGGCAATGAAGCAAATCTTGGAGACCCATGTTCCTGATAAGCGAGACAGTGTCTTTGATGTCAAACCTCTTTTCCAAATTGTAGAGGACATCATTCATCATTCCACCTCTACTGTCCCTTGGATCACTCATGTACTAATATCATCCTTTTGTTTTCTGATCTGCTTTTCTATATATATCCTAGTCATCGGTGAAACATCTTGGATAGATATGTTCATACGAACGATTACACTAATCTTTATATATTTTGATCACATCCGTTTCCGTTCCGTAATTATCTGACTAATCGTAACTTGTTTTGTGTAGGTAACTCGAGAACATTTGGATGGATTGGAGGATAGGGAAACCCAGAATGGGTTAAGTGAAATGCTCCAGCTTTTGGCACACCCAATAAGTACAGTTTTCTATGAGGTATGGTTCCTTCGAGTCTACAAAATAATTTTTGGCACGGTACCAAAAGCTATCAAAAAATAAGAGTGAAAATTATCTTAATATTTTTGAGCCGTAAGACCCGTAACTATTTTTTAAAATTATAACTTGACGACAAAAGAATCTTAGTTAGTCTCTATTGACTTATAAATGTTATTATGATAGGTGGTCCATTGTATTGCCCTACACTGTTCTACAAGTAATAACTACACTGTTCTACAAGTAATAAATGGCTTTTGTGACTCTTTAGTGTGCACTAGCCTGTGAAGTGTCACCAAACTGAATTGTAGACTGAGCAGTGAGATTGGTTTAACTGCTACCTGCAAAGGTGCAAATGAACCTTAAACATTTCCAATATGTATCAAGGCTTGTCTTGTTTTTGAGCTTACGACTCAGAAACATGAATGACATTACCCATTGACCGTCTTAGTTATACTCAGTTTAACAACATTACTCAAAGTTGATAAATTGGTGGTGTGACAGATATCTTACAAGTGCTCCGGCGGCAGCGACGGACACTCAATCACCAAGGCAATTTGTGTTACACTTTCAGCCTACTCCTGGGAAGCCAAGGTGGTGATAGCATTGCAGCCTTCGCCCTGATCTACGGCGAGTTCTGGCTGGTTGCCCAGCTTTACCTCTCAAACCCACTTGCTAAATCTGTTGCATACCTCAAACAACTGCCAGAGACGCTCAAGCGCGCGGATCTGTTGAAACCAAAGCTTGAGTCACTCATCAACCTCATCAGGGCCATGCTTGATGTGACCACCTGCATTCTCAGGTTCAAGGAGCTCCCACTTCAGTACATTACCCCTAACACACCGGCAATGGCGACCGCCAATGCTCATATTCCTGCAGCCGTTTATTGGACCATGCGTGGCATTGTGGCCTGTGCGTCACAGATCATGAACGTTTTAAGCATGCGTCCCAAGTATGTATGCCTTATCGACGTCTTATCTTGTTATAGCTATTCTTATTTTTTGGTAATTTTTGGTATAATTCTAAAAAATAACTCTTTATTAGAGTACTCTTATCGATATGTATGAACTGTATATGATATTAAAGGGACTTTAACCATAAATATACATGTTGCCACTAGAGAGAAGCCATTGTAGTCATTTCTCATTAGACCCAAGTTATGTCAAGAGTGAGGGAATAGCGGGTACGTATGTTAAAAATAAAAAGAAATATATAGAAGAAAAATGGAATTATTCAATGCTAACTTTTACCGAGGACTCGTCATGGTAGATGTCACAAAGTTTTATACTGACTGTCAGTTACCTAACGCAACCCTCTTCTTTTATTCTGACTTAGGACAGACAGTGTTAAATACAATATTGGCGGAGTGAGGAAATGTATTCACAGTGGACAATCCTTAAATTGGTGTTATATTCACCAGTTAGACCACAAATTTTTGCTACAGAGACTTGTGTTATACTTAATTAAAGACAACGTTAATTTTGTCACTGATGTTAGGAACATACCCTTGAGCACCGTGGTCAATTCGGAGCTATCTGCCCTGGAACATCAGCTGAAGAACAAACTTGAACTCCTTCAGAATCAGCTGGCTCTTTGTAATAAGCTCATTGGTGAGTCTTTCACATCTCAATTTTCATCAAACAGTTGGTATAGGATATCATCTTTCTTAACCCCATTCTTCGATTTAACGTTTTGCTTTCAAAGAGAAATAAGAGGAAGGCAAAAACATTACATATACACACACTGATACACAGTATATAGATTGAAATTGAGACGAATAAGTGTTGCTACGCTGCAGGCGAGGCGAGAAGTGAAGAAATGTATCAAACTATTGTGCGAGTCAAGAACACAAGCCACATTGATAACCAAAAAGTTCTCAAGATTTTGATTTATGGTAAGGACAATCAGCTACCACTCCATTATGGAACTGAAAAGAGACTGGTCTGCTCATACCTTGTTTGCTCTTTTTTTTTCCCTTAGCTCCTGTTTACACCTAGTAAACCATGAGATAATGACATGTGACATGACAAATGCCATGGTTTATTTTGTCTGACGACAGGTTGGTGTTGAAGAATTGAGGAAGAAGGTCGTCTTGTTATTCATCTCGGATCTTGATCTAAACCTCAACGAAGAGCTTTGGCTTCTTCAGTCTATCTACGAAGAGAAGATAGCACAACCATCACACCCAGAGAGCCAGTATGAGATTGTATGGCTCCCAATTGTCGAATTTGATCGAACAAAACCATTGGATGAAGAAAAGGTTCATCAGTTCCAGTCCTTGAAATCCACGATGAAATGGTACACGATAACTCACCCTTCGTTGATCGATCCAGCAGTGATTCGATACACCAAGGAGGTGTGGCGATTTACCAAGAAGCCTCTTCTTGTGGCTTTGGATCAACAAGGAAAAATGGTGAACCAAAATGCTATCCACATGATTTACATATGGGGAAGTTTGGCTTATCCCTTCACTAGCTCCAAGGAAGCAGCACTCTGGGAGGGAGTAGGCTCATGGAATTTCTCTGTATTGGCAGATAACATTGATCGAGCCTTGCTTGACTGGGTATTGCCTCTGTCCTTTCATATTTTAGCTCTCACTAATGTGTAAACATAGCTAAAATTCACAGTTCATGCATGGAAATTATATATTAAGTACAAGCTACTTAAAATCATTCACTCATATCTACACAATTTGTTTTTAAAAAACCGCGCCCAGTTACTTGGAGTTGATTCTGAATTACCCTGTACACTCATAATGTTTTAAATTCGACTCACTATTTTGGACCTAAAAAATAAGTGTTGTGCAAGTGATAATGGGCATTTGGACTTTCACTGTTGATGGTGTAATTAGGCAGATGAGCAGAACAATACGTATCACATAAGCGAGTTTGAATCTGAGCTACAAGGCTCATGAAGACTATGGAAAGATCCTTGTGGAATTGGGATAACTTGCATAGCGGAAGTATAGTGGTTTACTGAGCTCGGCTAATCTACTCTCAAAGGGAGTCTCTTGCTCCTTAAATCTATATTCATGTTGGCTGTGATTTACAAAGTACTTCTGATAATACTAAGGTTCCTCTCCCTACGTTGGAGGCATTGTACAGTATTTATAGCCATGTTCCTATTACTAAGGGATATACAAGGAGATTTTTGCCCTTCATTTATGGGATCTCTCTTGATTTCTAGAGAGAATCTTGGTTGGTTGAGAGTCTTGTGCCTTGATTATAGTCTCCTGCTTTATTGGGAGTACCCGCTGTCTCCTTCTTGATTTTCCTCCTGATTTCTTTGAGGGGAGCTCGAGGTCTGGCCATAGGAGTTCTAGATAGCTTACTCGCTCTCCAAGTCTGACCTCCATACCCGAGCTCATTCTTGGGATTTCTTCTAGGTATCATCAGTTGTCCCCCAATCCCTTATCAAAGTGGGTTTGACCAGGGGCTAAGCTAGAGTTGAGTCGAAGTAGAACCTCCCAAGACAACCTTGATTCGCGCGTGGAAGTTGCTTTTTGACGATTTTCAACAATCATCCCTTTCCTCGTTTCCCGCACACATTATGACCCACGTCATTCGAGCTTTAAATACTCACACGGCAACAAAAACCACCAAAACTTCCTATTCATCTTCTTTCTTCGGCCTTTGATTTCCCCTTTTTTTGCACTCTTTGTTTTCCCATCTTACTAGCGAACTTAGGGTTTTGCTAAACCTCCTCCCCTTCGGATTCAATTTCGAAGGCTCCACGAGACTCACATCCTGATTTCACTCTGGGGTTTTGATTCGCCATCTCTGACTAGGTACGCTTCCCTGCCCTCGTTTGTTCCTTCGTTCTGGATCTCTCGAATCTAAGGTGGTTTTTGTATTTCTGAACTTTTTGATTCTACTATTTTAGGAATCGGGTTACTCTTTGTCTCGTCTTTCTCTCTTTCTTAACCCTTACTCTACAGCTAGAATTTTCCTTATTGGCAGTTGTTGTGTTGACCCATTGACCCTCTGGGAGTGTTTTTCAGAGATTCATCCTCTTTATAGGTCTTTTCAACTCCCCTACTCTTGCCTAGCTATGTCTACTTCTTCTGTAGCCACAGGCTCATCTATTTCCCTCATGGGGAATAGGTCTTATGAAGTAGAGGATTCTGATTTGGATGACGTGGTAGAGGAGATTGATAGCTTTCTTGGTGTCAATTCTGTCGATATTAAGGAAAATATCGAGGAGCCCCCTTCTTCGTCCTCCCTAATACCTAAAAACCGCAGCAAAGGTAAGGCCAAGGTGAGTGACATAGGGGTCTCAAGAAGCGTTGAGGGTGTAGGGGTTGTATCCAGAGCTGCAGAGCTCGTTGGTGCCAGTGAGGTCTCTCTTCCTCAGATGAAGATCCTAACTGCTCGTTTTGGTTTTCCCCAGGATGTACAATTCTGGTGCCCAGACAAGTTTACCCGATATGACTCTGTGGTCCCAAAGATGACCTATTTCTTCGTAGCTTCTTTTGAGAACGGACTAATGAATGAGTTTTATACCTACGAATTGAGTACTTTCGACTTAATGAAATTGCAAGTTTTTAATTATTTTATGTTCATTTTTATTTGTTTTGTGTGTTTTTATGTTATTTTGTAGGGATGATTATTTGGAAAAAATCATGATCAATCGGGAAGAAACAAGGTCAATTTGAAGCCAAAAGGGTGAATTTTTGGAAAAGGGCATTTTAGGCCTGCAGAGGGGGGCGCGCCTAGGCGCCATTTCTAGCGCCTAGGCGCCAACATTCTGTCCATGCAGCACCTTTCAAGCGCTTAGGCACTTGTGTTAGTCTGTAACGCGAATTTTATCTTATTTTTTATCCGAAGTTGGACTCTAAAGCTACATATATGCTAGGGCTTGTGTGGGGATGATAGATTCTGAATTTTATGGGCTGAAAACATTGGAGAAAGACCAAGAAATTGGAAGAAAATTGAAGACAAGAATCGAAAGAATTGACATGAAGAAGATTGGACTTAAAGGCTAGATAAGGATTAAAGATTGTACCTAAGTTTTCATTCTTTTTTCTTACCTTTACTTTTTGATTTTCTAAGATGTTTAATTTTAGAATGATGTCTTTCAATTACATTATGAACTAAATATTTATTAAGATTGCAATGGAACATATGTCTAGTTAAATTAATCTATTNTGCCTCTTCTTCTAATCTATTTGTCCTCAACTCTCAGGTTCCTCATCAATGGAGCCCACATCAAAGGATCACATGGCCAAAGTGGCCTTGTTAAGGAAAACCTGGAGTGGGAACAAACGCAAGACTGAGGTCGGATCTGGGAGTGATTCAGCCTCCCCAGCCAAGGTACACAGGTTAAAGGCCCCATCTTCTTCTCCCTAACTACCTTAGGCGGACCCCCTACCTTCTTTGAGCTCTCTAAAGGTTGTCCAGACCTCTCTTTCACAGGAGACTGGGTTGCCATCTTCAGGAGGGACCAAAGCCTAGTTCCAATCTCTCCCTCCTCAACAGAGGTTGAGAGAGTTTTGGAGATAGTTTCTCACATTCTACCTGGGTCCGTTCTTCCTTGCCCTACTAAGAGATCCTCTCCGCTACTTCTCAAGGTTTCTAAGAGCGAGAAAGGGAAGTTTCCTAATGGTGAGACAAGTGGGGGGGCTCCCTAATTGATAATGTCAAGCATANACATACGTCTAGTTAATTCTTCTTAGGATTGAATTGCTAGGTTTGTGTATAGGATAAGAATATACTTATATGTTGTGTGTAACTTTTATGAGAGTTTGAACTTAATGAATCTATTCCAACTTATTTTGCATAGGATATAATAATTTAATTGGGAGAGATAATTTTATCTAACTATCGAANGGGCTCCCTAATTGATAATGTCAAGCATACAGTAGAGGTCATTGCCTCCATTATTCCAGAATCTGATATCCAGAGGGCGACAAATATGCCTATTCGGCGCTACTTCTATAAGTCTATGGCCTTTCAACTTTCTTATTTACCTTGCATCATTCCCTCATGCTGACTCTAGCCTTTTGGGGGATGATTNGATCAATTAACTGAAAAGAGAGTTAGAAAGATTTATACGAAGCATTAGGAGAAATTTTAATCTTAAGTTCTTTTATCTAGTAAATTCAACCCTTGATTGTTAAGTTTAANCTTGCATCATTCCCTCATGCTGACTCTAGCCTTTTGGGGGATGATTTTTGCTCTTAGATGGCCATTCATGTAAGTGGCTTGTTGAAAAGGATCCAAGCTTTAGAAAGGTCTGCCAAAGCTTCCAAGGCTTTCAAGGTCAAGGTTGTTGAGTTNGATACTCTACTTATCACTTTATTACTTGTTGATCGTGTATACTTGCACATAAATTGTCAATATCAAATTCGAACAACACAGACTTAGGTTTCTTGTACATCCCTTCATCAAGTCTGTTCTCTAGCATTTTAACGTCTGCCCTGCTCAAATCTCTCCTAACTTTTGGGGGGTCCTAGTGGGTTTTCTGGTCTTTTTCAAGAAAAACAAACTTGGCACCCCTTCTATTCCACTGCTCATGAAATTCTTCAATGTCAAGTTCAATCCGGACGATTTTTGTACATTTCCAAGCGGGTGAAAATCCCAACCTTGATCATTGACCTACCCAGCTCTCATAAAAACTAGAAGAAACAGTTCTTCTTTGTGTCGGGGAAGGCATGAGAATTTAATCCCAACGATGCCACTGACTCCATTCCAGTTTTGCGATCTTGGGTAGGTCCAGACAACCTAGGTAAGCTTGAAATTCTGAAAAAGGCCCATCTTTCCTCTTTTTAATGTTAGATGCTGAGTTCGTTTCTTTGGTTGTTCCAGGTATTCATCCTGAACTAGGAGCTGAGGATAAGAAAGTTCTGCACACCTTTAGGGATTGGAAATTGGAGAGGTATTCCATTCTGACTGACCATTCCGAGCTTATAAAAGTAAGCTTTAGCCCTCCAGTGGTGAGGATCGAAACCTATATTCCCATTTTTGTTGCTGGAGCTGAAGGAGTGTCAAGTGATATTTTTGCTCTTAACTCTTACCTCTTCCTACCCTCCTACTCCTGCCTCTTCTTCTAATCTATTTGTCCTCAACTCTCAGGTTCCTCATCAATGGAGCCCACATCAAAGGATCACATGGCCAAAGTGGCCTTGTTAAGGAAAACCTGGAGTGGGAACAAACGCAAGACTGAGGT